GAATAGTGACAAAAATATTACGCAGACTTAAAAAGCTGAATTTTTTGTCAGTGGTTTGAAATACCTAAATTGTTTCGCATTGAAACTATGAAATTTAGCAGTGCTGACAAGCGTGTAGATAGTTTCGCACTGGTACCTCCATAAAAATTACTCAAACAAAAGTACTGGCTTCATGTTGATTAGTATAGATAAGAAGAACAGTATCGATTGACCAAAACAGTTTTAAAAGCTAGAAACTACGACCCGAAAAAAACGGAAACGGCAGTACCAATGTTTAACGTATTGAGCCGGAGTCCAACATGTAATTGGTTCACCCCAAAAATGTGTGCTTAACAGTATTGCAGAACATAAACCCAACAAACTAACAGTTATTCGTGAGCATAATCGATCAACCTAAATAAACATCTTCTTCAATAAGTTATTGTATTACAGAAATAATAAAATTTTATAAATTTTTTTTATAAAATCTGAATTGTGCTCTTTCATATTTTCAGTAAGAAATAGATAATTTTTCTGTTGTAATAACAATAATGTTTGTTCTTCTCTTGAGTGGGAAAAGAATGACTAACATACGATCAACTTCAATGGTGAAACAAATAACAAACTGTGCAGTTACGGTAGGAGGAACATTTATTAACTGAGGAAGAACCAAAAAAGCAGCAGTAAGTTAGCATAGGATTAAAACGTATAAATATATGTACAAAAAAAGCAAACAAGAAAAGGTATACCAGTTCATTTTTTGGTTGTTTTAGAAATCTTCCAATTAATGCATTTGCAGAAACAATAGCTCCAATTTGTGAAGACATTGTTTCTCGTAGACATCAATATGAGCACCGGCGATTCACAGTAGAATCTCCTTGTTTTAGACGACCACTTTTGTCTGTGTCTGTCTGTATCTGTACACGCTTATGCGTCTGTATAACTGTATGTAGCTTGCTGCCCCAAGAATGATACACAAAGGTTTCCTGTCGATGACGAGAACAGAAGAAGACTTTAGGAAATGTGAAGAAAAAAAAGGAACTTGTAGTACTGGAGACCGATGGCAACAACGACAACCTACTACTACTGATCTTTCCAAAGAGAATAAACAGTGTTTAAACAAGAAGAAAGAAGAAAAACTAAAGAATTGT